TGTGTTGCATGTTTTTTTGCTTTCAGTATGCTACCAATATAGGTCTCATGTGCTCTAAATCTTAGCCCATAAATTACAGTTTCAAACTTTTCAATGGTTTGGTCACACTGGGGCTGTCGCGGGTACCAAGTTCTGTGCCAGTGTGACTTACGATGTGTTGGAGCAGGGATTTTACAGCATGAAATGTCACTCCTACAGCTCCGCTGAGCCCAAGAGCGTGAAATCTGATGCTTTGTTGAAAAGGCTTCAAAGACAAGGCTGGCAAATTCACAGATACACATCAAACTTAACAATGTAGCCTTTAATCAGTTACAGTGTTTATCCAATTAAGATGCTATGGAGACCGTGTTATATGCAGAACTGTTAAAACTAACTGGAAAGTCTGCTATATGGATGGGCCAGAAACTAAAACTGCACACAGTAACACATTTAAGCAACATTCAACTGTTGAGCATCACTGATCTCAGCAACATCAGCATAAAGGAGGAAAACACTGTATCTAATATTAGAAAGCACAGCTTTCTCTGCACAGACCATCAATTTACTGCCGTTTAAGAGGCAGTTTGTATTTCACTCTTGAGCTTAAATTTCCTTTTAGAGGAGAAGTGTATGTACATTTAAACAAGCAGAACATGGGCTATATCTGGAGGGAAGGGATACTCTTTGCTACCTTAGCCCTGGATATTTTTACTGGATTTTTTTAAAAACAGCAGCTCTATGTTGTTTGATTCTTAAATATAAAGTTGTTAAGTGGAAGACATGTTTAGAGATTCTAAAATATTAAGGGGTTTTACAATGTAATAAAATGAGGCAGGCAGTCTGAGCAAAGCCATGTATAAAGTGCTGATGCAGTTCAAATGATATAAGCTGGTATTCAATCTGTAATCACTTTGGTTCCACAGTCATAAAGATTAAAAAGGACACACACATAAAAAAACACATTAAAAGTCCCACATCTTAGGCTCACAATTAACAAAATACAGCCCTTTAAAAAACAGTCATTCTGCAGAAAATTGATCTGTATCTATTCTGATAATAAAGCAAAGACATAAAATGTCCCAGTGCTGGGTTTTTAAAAGTGATCATTGGCTGCATGTCTTGTTTTCCATGAAAGGAAACTGAATATTTTGAGGTTTTCGGTTCATTCTTCTATTTCTCAGTGACATTTCAGCAATTAATCTACTAACCAAACAACCAAATGAAACTAGACCCAGAAACTCACGATTCCATACATTTTGAAGCAGGATATTACAGTACTGTGCAAAAGTCTTGAGCCACCTGTAAACTTTGCTTCTAAGGAGCAAGACTTTCTCCAAATCAGTTTTAAAGTCCTCTCATGCAATAGTTCTACAGGTTTTCTGATTATTATTGTTACGTCCCTCTGCAGCCTCTAATCTGCTCAGTGTGTTCAGCTGGTGCTAATTGGCCACACCTAGTCAGGTGTGGATAAAAGCATACCTGAGGCAAGCTTCCCAGGGAGCTCACTAGTCTTTGCCTTGGTGGCACCAGCCATTTTAGCCAACCTGATAGTCCATTTTAAGATAAAACCTCTTTTCACCTACACGCTGGTATTCGTCTCCTTTTTTATGTTGCGGCTTTTGAGCCGGGTCGTAACAATTATTCAGAGGAATGATTTTGTTTGTTAAGCTCAAAGCCCTAACATATAAATAATTCAGGCATAAAAAGGCCACCTAACTCAAGGGTCTACATATGACAGTTAACTTGGCAGGGAATTTTAACTGTATTTTCATTATTTTCACAGGTTTCAATAGATCACTGCATCTATTTCTCATTTTCTTAGCAAAATCTAAAGAAATTAGGGGTGGCTCAAGCCTTTTGGACAGTATTCTATTATAAACCCTAAAACAATGCGCAAAGGAAAATGAAATTCAGGAATAAATACGTTATATATTGAAAAAGAGCATACGCCACCTGTTTCCCCCAGCTCATACAACGTAAAGCCATCAATCTGAAGGTATCCTTGGAAGCGCTCCTTGTTCACCCACAATGATAAGCTACTGTCCTCGTACTCTGCAACACAGACAGGTAAGATCTTTCAGAAACAGAAGCACAGAGCTCATCAACATTCAGCCCGCAGACTGCCTATAATAAAAAGGGAAAGCAGAAGAGTGTATTGATGGCTGGAATGTAAGAAGATCAGCGTTTGCCACCTGTATGCATTCTTGGGGAACAAAGAGCAAGACAGAAGCTGAGCAGTCACAGCCATAGGTCAGATAAACAATGACCAGAAACTGTTTTGACAGCCAGCTGCCTCTGGCTTAACAGTCAGGCAGGGTATTCAAGATCTGAAACAGCACAATGATCTATGACTCAGAGCGAACAGATTGGCAATCGATGGAGATGTAAACAATCAAACGCAACAGATGGCCAAGTCATAAATCAAATAACAGTTTGTTTAGCCTTGACTGTTCACAGTCACATTTCCAGATTAATTACTATTTATCAAATAGATGGCTGTCAAGAACATTAAGAGGAAAAATACTGTAATTTTCATTCACAATTGATGCCTTTTCCCCCAAAATGCTGGCTAACCTGACCTAATTTTCACAGCTAAGGAAAGAAAAACATCATATTTGGTTTGTAAATGATTCTGCAACCATACATTTATTTTTAACACATCTGGAGCAAATGTGTAATTCAACAGATGCAACAAGAGAAGAAAAAAAATCCTATCAAATGCACCATATAAATAAAAAAAAATAAACAAAGACAGAAAAATAAAAAATTACTTCCTGAATGCGAGCCACATGTTGTTGCTCCTCTAACATCTGGAGGCAACACGCAAACAGGAAGCAGAGAATGTCCCTGGAGGGTATAAATAGGGTGTAACGAAGCTGCTTAAACAACACCGTTTTCTCCAGCTGAGAGGCTACAGGACGCTCATAATTGATGTCAAATGTAGCCGGGACCTTATTATGACACGTTAATAAGTTACCGTGACCTTTCGCTACCATCATAGTAATTACAAGAACACTGATGACTTTTAACATGATTCTCATCCTGCAGGGCTCCAAGTGAGCTGGAAGCATAATACTAAACATGACAAGCTAAAACCTGGAACACACTTTTAAACCCCCCCAAGGTCGTAGCTTACAGTAGTATTAGAAACTATTCCTCAGTGATTATACTGTGCAAAGGGAGCGGAGCCTTGCTGTTAAGACTGCTGAGTCAGTGGATAGGGCAGACATTCCAGAGAGTTCTTTCCACAGATGTTCTGGCTTTACAGACAGCATGCAGCTTCCCAACTTTACCCCAGAAGCAAAAGAAAGCTCGGAGGCCCCATACTGGGGTTGTACAGCCTGATCCACCTCTACACCGACTGAACCTGCTTCACCTTGAAACAAATTAGAGCTGCTTTCTTCCCGGGCGCCACCCTCACAATCTCCATACTGCCCTACAGGAGCCCTTCAGCCCAGAGTTCACACAGTGGGAGGTGAGAGAGAAAGATGAGGGGGAATATAAACAGACAGTGGGTGGAGTGAGGATGATCCAGTGTCAGAGTTTGGAGCAGAGGGAGGAGGCAGCTCTGACACATTTCAAGGATGAAGGTTAATGGCACAGAAGACCTCCAAGACAATGCAAAAAGTGTAGAAACAGAACCACAGGGGGAAACGCATAGAGAGGGGAGGAAGCTGCTTCATAAAGATAACTCAGACAGCGTACGATCCAGGAGACTGACGTGTTGAAATGTGACACAAAGCTCGGTGTAATGATGAGAAAGCAAGGGTAATTTGCTATTATAAAAAAAGAACACATAAGGTTTAACAAAGAAGATGCTTTGGCTCAACTGCTGAAAGGAAATAGGAATACAACAACAAATAAAAAGAGTGTGATATAAAAATATTTTATGTATTGCTCAGTTATAGGATCGGGTAAAGATAAAGAAAAAAAATGATGCTGTCAGTAGCTAGCAGCTCATATTCATGTAAGGTAATGCTTGAGCAATCAAATCAAACAAAGCTATATCGGTTATAGTTAGTTATATTATTTATAGTGAAGAAGAAGCCACTGTTGGTGACAAATGCCACATAAATACAAAAATATAGAAAAGTTGACAAGAGCCATGTAGTAAGTAGACTTACTACTAAAGTAAATTCACTGAAGTACTTCACTGTATTCCTACTTTAATTACGCCACTGTAATTTGCATGCAACTGCAGAATATGGAACCCTGACTTACGAATACCCCATTTAACGAAAAATTCAAGTTATGTAGGCACTTAACGGCAATATTTCTGCCCGTGTTACGGCAACATGCCCGCATAACGAAATCCGCTGGCTCTGATTGGCTGAGCCCAGAATGCCTACAATGCCTTCCGGATCATGTGACAACCCCCTTGGCTTTCGTACTTGCGCTTCGCTATTCCACTTAAACGGTGTATTGTTGTTGCAGTTAGCAATTAGCCAATAGCCTATCGGTCACTCAAAAGGCGCGATGGGTGCTTCGACTTAAGAAAATTTTCGACTTACGAAAGACCCTTGGGAACGAATTAATTTCGTAAGTCGGGGTTCCACTCTACATTATGTACTTATAGCTCAGCAATAAATTAGTAATTAAACATTACACCAGCAGCTGGAACAATAATTTGATCATTTTGACCTAATAATTTGACAATAATTAAACATTTGACTTATGTTAATCATGTCTAAATACTTTTGTCCACTTTCCAAAAACAATTATCCAAAATAAGATCGTGAAATCCACGGTCACAATTTACATGCAGCATCTCTGCCTTTTTTGCACTTCATACCCCATCTCCCACCCACCACTCCTCTGTCCAAACAAAGTAAAAACAACAACCAGTTATTGGGCTTTCCATCAATGTCATTCACGCTGACCTTGCCAACACTGCAGATTGCAATAACCAGTGAAATGAAGGCTGACCGTGTGCGCTGTACCAAAATGTCATCATTGTGTTATCACCTGTTTAAGTGTGATCTTTTCTGTCATCACATTCACAAACTGTTAATCATCCTGTCATTTACATGATCCCAATAAACATATGCAAACACATTCGGCCTCACAGCTGGCAGCATTATGAATGTTTCCATACAAGGAGTGGAAAGGCCAAACCATTAACCACTGAGTCAGATTAACAGGAAGCCTTATGTGGAGCTCTGAGCATTAGGAGGACTCAAAGACCCAAAAACGTGTCTGAAGACTGTTGGCAAGTGAAACAGTTACAAATGCCGTACTGTGCATGCTGACATATATGCTAATTATATTTTTCTGCTTTCTTACATGTTGCCCAGTAGCTTTCAATGCAGCTACACAATGATCAAAACCACTTGGCCTTTGAAGCACAATAGCAGAGCAGACCTGTATAACTGTATGAAACAGAGGATTTGGATAATTAAATATGTATGAGCTTCTGTGTTCTACTATATCTTAACAGTGCTCTTCAAAAGGGATGCCGCTATTTGTGATGCGCACTAAAGCAATCAAAGCTAAACAATAACATGTCAAATATCATTTTACACAAAGCGAGAGCTTGTGTTTGGACAGTGTGGTTGTGCTCAGTGGGACCCATTCTTTAAAAACAAGAGTGCACAGCAAGAACAGCAAGTGTGCAGTGAATTTCTAATGAGTACTTTGAATCTGCGTATTCGGAAAATACATATGAAAGCAAATAGTTGGCGGGGGGGCATGATCAAAGTCGTTAGAATATCTTGGCAGCTGTCGGCCTCTAATGCTAGAAGATAAACAACAATGCAGCAAAAAAAGAACGTGTCAGTTTCACAGTATAATACTCACACGCTTGACTAAACGTCACAGCCTGCCATAAAACAGTGTCACTAGGTGCCTATGCAAATGGGCTCATAAGTTTAGCCATATAACATTTTCTGACTGAACACCATGCAAAGTGAGGGCAACAGCAAACCATATGAGGTGTGGTTGACTCATTTATTCCTTCATCCAACATTTAGCCAGCAGACCTTCAGGGAGACTAGAAGCATACTACAGCAGATGGACAGAAAGCCGAGGCTGAAGGCTATGAGTCTTTAAAAAAGCGAGGCAAACCACTTTCTTAAATTTCTCTTTTGCTATCACTTGAGGTAAGTGTCTAATGCTTAATGACTCAGTTTCTGTGCTACTATACTAAATAATCAAAGTTTTTTTTCTTCTGCAGTTTCCGAACGACTGAAAAGGACAAAGAAAGGAAGGACACAACCATGTCATTTTGCCATGCTTCTCCTCTCCTCAGTCCTTGACAAGTTTAACACACCGTCACCATGGCAATGCTACAGATTCATCACATCCTCCGTATCAGAGTCCTAGAGGACTCTGCAGAGTGTGGAGTTTTTGTGGTTAACATCTACTGTGGCGAGCCTCTTCTGCTGAGATTCTGGTGCGTGAAGCCCGCCTTCCGAAATGGTCAGGTGGAGCAGATGGATGCAAACGCACAGACCGCAACGCAGATGGATTTTGTTCTCCGGGTCACACACCGTGCGCCTGACCTCCCTAACAGCCACTACTGGGGTCCGTTTGTGTTGTCGCTGTGCCTCGACGCTCTTCGCTTCCGGTTCCGCCTGCCAACTCGGGCCCAAAGCGGCAGAGAAATACAAGAGATCATGGAGGAATGCGGTGAACTCATGTTACTGCGCTGAAAGCTTTCAATTATGACCCGAAAAAGCAAATCCTCTAAAGCTTTTACGCATCGCAAATGTGATTTTCTTTTTTGTCTGCTTTGACTCGATGGCTGATGCAGCGATTCACCTCTTGGCTTTGACTGCATACACACTACCAGCTCTGCGCTCTTCTTTGGTCGAATCTGCGGTCTCGCACGCCCACTCAAGCCAGTTCATCCACCCTGGCCTGCTATGTATGTCCGCCCAGAGACAAACCGCCACAACATCACTGGCCTAACCACACACACAATAGTGGGCAGACCCTGGGGTGCTTTATGATGGGCCAGGCACACCATAACTCAGTGTGGTGAGGATGAAAGAGCAGCGGCAGGAACGGGAAAACTACATGAAGACAGCTCTGGTTACAAAGTTTATGTGAGAGGCGAGAAGGAGGAGGGAATAGCAGGCGGGAGCAGGAGACAGCATGGCACCCTACTGCCCTCTAGTTAAGCTATTAAACTAAACCAATTGAGAAAAAAAAAAAAAACAAGACAACAGTAGTGGACAAAGCCTAAAGCAAATAAAATACTTACCATCATAGGTAAAGTAGCCTCCATCTTTAAAGACTACGACAGCAGGAAGCTCTGGCAAAGATACTGACTGTTGAAAACACAAAAACACCACTTTAGACAAAGATCCATAAATCATATAAAATATGTGAAAAACTCTTTGTACTGGGAAAAAAAAACATCAGAGCTTGTAACGTGTGCAATCCCAGGGCAAGAGACATGTTCAAAGAATCTAAAAACATTATCTCAAACTAGGAAAATATAACTGCATGTGTCATTCCCAAGTGCATTAATGACATGTTTGTGAGTGTATCTTTGTGAAATTAATTTCATACTTTCTAAAGACGAAAGATGATCGCCTATTCAAAGCATTACCTCTGGCAAGGCTTCCTCTGAAGCAGAGAAGAAGTAAGTATAGACAATGAGCTCAGAGGCAGCGTCGTTGTACTTCTCCTGCAATAGCAAAAAAAGAAGGAAAAAAAAAAAAGGCTTTCGGTATTCAAAGATTGTAAATTATCACTTGAAGGTATTGCATAGAATGAATTCTTTCTTATATTATGTCAATGCTGCAGCATAGCATTGCCCCTATGATGCAGACTTTTGTGTGGTTGCTAAAGAATAAAAGAATGAAAGTGTATTGCTGTATGTTGCTTACTTTGAGAGGAGAATCCCCACCAACATACACAAAAAGCACATCGTGCCGTTTCATCATGTGCTCAAACATCTGCTTGCTGGGAAGGGCTCGGACGGCTGGTCTGATGGAATAAAGAACAAACAAACAAACAAACAAACAAAACATAGACAGGAGTTCATTTTGATAAGTATTTAAACCTCACAGAGTACAACAGTGATGTGTAATGTCCTAATCTTGGTTTCTGTGCTGCTAGCACCACCCAGTGGCAGTTCAAAAAACCACTGCAGTCCTCAACCCGTCTCCGAGCCAAGCTTTTGATCAGCCCCTCTGTCACGGATCTAGTTTGATTTCCCTCAAGGAGGGGAGAAATCTGTCAGGCTCACTTGATACAGTGGTTTAAAGTGGAGCATCAGAGGCAGAAATCCATTGAGCTATGAAACAAATATGGCCTGGGTTGATAAGCTTTTCATTTAGCTTGGCATGTCTTCCTGTGAAATAAGGGAAGTTCTACTCGGCTCTCAGTTTCTCCTCATGTTGATTTCCAAGTGTTGTTTGAACCCTGTAACTTACCCTGCCACCCTGTTGGCAAACTCTACAATATCATCTTTTGTCCTCGGTCCCTTGTAATTGTAGGCAAGATCACCCTTTAACCTGAAAATAATAAGAAAAAATAGTGAAAGACTGAATATTTCATTGAAAACCCATTCAACACCTTTCACTGTTTTGTGCCAACAGAATGACACCGCTTGCATATTTATGTGAAACTGAATAAAACGGGAATTAACTGCTTGGCAGTCATGCATTCAGGATTTGTATGAAAAAAGAATATTATGCAAGAGGTGTACATCGAACTAAATTTTCTGATTGGACCGCTCTTTTGACATTTTAGAGTAGATTCTTTTTGCTGTTTAAGCAACACAAATATTTTTTTCCTTCTACTGGTTCTTCCTCATTTCATATAGCAGGTGCCAATTTTTTGTATGCTTTTCTAATGTAGTGTTGGACCCACCTTTGCCCACTTAAAAAATCCTAAATTAATTGGTGGCATAGATTCAGTATAATATTGGAAACATTCCTTACAGATTGTTTACCATGTTCATATAAAACCAGTACACGATGCTACAGAATTGCTGGCTGTACGGCTCTCCCTTTCAACCTCATCCCAAAGGGGGTTTTGGTCGAGAGCCGAGGCGAATGGAACATACAAAACCCGCTGGCATGTCGATGGAACCGGCTTCAGATCATGTGTGCTTTGTGAAATGGCGCCTTACCCTGCTGGCAGTGGCTATCAAGAGATGCACACGGTCAGCAACAATACTCGGCTCGGCAATGGCATTCGAATGATGTTCAGTTGGTATTAAGGGCCTTAATATGCGCCAGGGAAAAGCATTCCCCACGCAATTTTACCACTAACCCAGCCTGAAGCGTTGACACAAGGCAGCTGGATGCCAAATCGTGACCCTACCATCTGCGCATTACAGCAGAAATCTAAAGTCATCGTACCAAGACATGCTTTTCCACACTTCAGTTTTGGTGAGTCACAGGGAGTGAAGCCTGGTTTGGTCTAGCCAATCAAGTTTCAGCGTGTTACGCATACTGAGATACTGATCTGCAAAGCAATCATGCTCAAAATAGTTGCAGTCACTTTTCTTTTTTGGGGGGGGCCTTAACCAATCAAGCAGTTCTCCTCTGACCTCTGTCATTGACAAGAACAGCCCATCACTGGATGTTTTTGTTTTTTATATCTAATTTTGTAAACTATGGAGACAGCTATTGTAAGTTAACAGGAGTTAGCAATTTTTGAGAAACCATCGCAATAAGCAGTTTTATAAATCCACCTGTTCCCTTTCATGTTATAGGTGTCACATATGTTATACGTTGAATATAAGATATGTGGTATATGATGTGAAAAGAAAACAAATCGAAAACCTAGAATTTAATGCCAGATTAAGCCTTTCTTTTACAGACGTTTACATCATAATTTTGAAACTCTGCCCATGTTTTATATTAACATCATACCTTTACATATGAAATGAATGCCTTTAACAATAAAAAGCAAATTATCTCACTTAAAAGTCTGTGACCAACATCTGAACTTAAAAACAACAACCTGTCATACAAACAGCATGTTCTGGTGAAACAGCACCTACCAGGAAAACCCTGTTCACCGCAAAGGTCAACTTAATCTAAATCATTACACCTCCAATAGGGAAAAAAAAAAAGACAAATGACTTTACCTAATTGAGTTCCAACCGAGAAAACTGCTCGAGTCGAGCTCTTACAACAAGCAAAATGCATTAAGGATTGCTAAGGTTGCATCAGCCCACGGCGCTTAATGAACTCAGGGGGAAACAGAACTCTAAATCAAGTCTCCTTCTGTCACCAAGGGAGGTATCTCGTGTTCTTCGATGGATGTTTCATCACTTGCTTGGTTTAATGTTATGAACCCTGCAGTGATCTTGTGGCACTTTCCCAAATGAGCTTGATGAAACTAAATGGGGAGCCCATTATGTTAGTGTGCTGATAAATGATTCAGCTTCATATAAATGGAGGGAACTCTGCTAAGTTGCAAGATCATTTATCTCATGTCAACATGAGCCCTGCCGTTAAGCAGCTGGTGTCTACCTAAATTCATTCATTTTATAATAAAAAAAAAAATGTCACTTGAATTTTAAGAAATGATTTGAAATAAATTAAATGGAAAGTATGCATTAAAACATTTGGACAACTACATTTGTAGTTTCACAGGTACACTCAGATATACTGTAAGAAAGGCATACGAGTGAAATCAAGAAGCTATTGCTAATTCTAATGACTAAAGGGAGTTTTGCACAATCATCCCACAAGAAATGTGTAATTAACAGCACTCTGAAGTGCCAAACTAATATAATTTTTTTTCAAAATGTGTGAACTGACTTTGTTACTTGGTTATGCCTTAAGGAGAAAGCAACAACACCTTATTCCCTCTTGAATAATTTATCTAAGGGCATCTCCAAAGGCAAGGCAACAAGGGAAAAAGCATCTTTATAATGACACAAAATACACGCAGGTACACTTAGATACAGGAGGTTACAGTGGGGGTGGGGTGGCTAAAGCAATAGCTAGAGTATAAAAATATAAATAATGCAACAGCCACATAACAAATTACAGTCCAAAATTACAACATGTTGGTGAAAAAAAACGCTCCTTTGATTAAATAGTGAAAGGAAAATTACTGAAGCTTCACAAAGACAGTGTTACCTGCAAAACAACTTTAATGGAATAATTAAATATTGTGTTCAAATTGAATTAACCTTTTAATAGCATATGACTTTTTCTAAGTGCTCAAGTATAATAACTTGTTTTTAAAAAACTGCTTGGTATTACTTCCCATAAAGTCTATAATGAGTGTGGGATATATTCAAATCATTTAACTTCATCTTGCATCTATACCAAACTAAAGAGTGGTACTTACAGTTTTATTGTGGGGTAACCACGAACACCAAACTCTGATGCCATTCCTGCAACACAGAAAACAATACAAATCATACTTGCTTTTTTTGAAAGGCTTAATCTCCACATCTTGAAAGACGTCTCTCTCTTTGAAAGATTTTAATACCCTCTTGTAATCTTCTTAAAGGATTCAAATGCTCTCCTAATTTAATCTCACTGCAAAAATTAAGTATATCTCTCTGAAGCATTACAGATTCAAAAAGAAAGACGCTTTCCTGTGGCTGGAGAATACGTGTCCATAGATTAATCTTGCAGTTAGCAGCTGCTTAATAAGACACAGAACTGTTGCATTTGTAGAGGTATAATTTTTACTGTAACACACTTGTAATATTGCTGTACCAACATCCCTACACGTCACACAAATGTCACAGTAACTGGCATTAATACTCTAATGTTTATATTGAAAGCATCATGATGTTGAACAACATGGTCCATTACAGAGAAATGTTGTCTCTAGCACATAAAGTAATCACCTGGGGGCACGCAAGCTCCAGGGGAAGACATTAAACTGCTACATGATTTACTCACCAGAGTAAGCCGTAGCATCCATCTTTCCCACACGAACCGGCGACCCTGAGCTCTTCAGCTCAGCTCCTACCTCATGCCATATTGGCTCTAGTTTTTTACAATAGCCGCACCACGGAGCATAGAACTGAAAGAGACCACAAGAATAAAAGAAAGCATTCTTTAGATCATGTACAACCTACTGTGAAGTCTTTCATATAATCATAAACTATATTAATAGCGACCTTAATATTGCGCTGTCAAGATTCACCCCATTGTTGAAAGGACAAACACAGCTGAGTTAAAGCATTATTGGTAATTAACAGCAGATAAAAAAGGAAGAACAATTGCAGTTGTTTAATTTTAAGCTAAGCTTGAAATAGTGGTTCAAGAACTGTACTCATGTCATCCCGTTTTCAAAGAACAGAGAAAAGAGAAGGTGCTTTCAGCTGGTCCTTTATTTCCCAACGGTTCACCACAGAGGATGGATCCGCATATTTGATTTGACACAGATTGTATGTCGGCAGTCCTTCCTGATCCATCCCTCCCATTTATCAGGGTTTGGGACGCTAGTATATTTTCATATTTTCTACATTGCAGAAGTCTGAACTTCATGATGTCACATTAGCAGTACAGATGCAGTGTCTTTAGCAAAACAAAGGCAGAGTTGTGGTAAAAATAAGGCACACCCTGCTTTTACTAATCAAATGCACTGGTCATTAGCAAATGTGAGCACTGCCATAGAAACAGACGTTTTTCCTGTCTGGAGCACTGACACTTGTTTGCCAGGAAGGGACGACATCTGCAATGCAGTGTCTAACTGTTCTTAGAGAAGGAAAAGCTGCTGTCCATCTGTGTTGGAGAGGCTATATGACCATTTCCAAATAATTAAAAGTGCATCATTCTACAGTGAGAACATGGAAAATTCAAGACAATTGTTAATCTTGCCAGAAGTGGACATCGCGGCAAGTTCACCCCCAGAGCATCTCAGACTCTACAGGCCTCAGTTAGCATCTTAGATCTTAACATTAGTTAACAGGCTGAAGTATGGCTAGTCGTTCTACAAGCTAGTAAATCAGTAGACACTGGGGTGTACTTAATTTTTCCACAAACTGCTTCTGCATTTTCATGATTTACTGATAATGACACTGTGTGATATGTCACGTGCTGCTGTCCATCTAAGGTTATATTTACCAAATTTTAAGACTTGGTAAGGAGAGCATTACTTCTATTATGTCCCAATATAAAAAATGTAGAATTGGCAAAAGGTCTAACTTTCTTTTTGCCATGACGACACATTAGCTACACATTAGCTGGTAAGATTTATAATACATCAAGGGTTAATGAAATATCCACAGATAATCCTTATGTACCCATATGTCTTCAAAATAAAAGCTGTT